TATGTATAAAACTTAGTTTTAAGATTCTGTGAGTCAGGACTAGCCATGGTGGTCTGTGCTGCTGAGATGCTGTGCTTGGCACGCTGGCATCACATGGGACACCCCAGCTTGATTTTCAGTCCTGCCTAAAGGCTGGCTATGGAGGCTGGTGCCTATGATCTCAGCAGCTCTCTGCAGTTCGGGAGGCTAAAGCTATTTGGGAGGATTGTGAGCTCAAGGGTTGCCTGGGCAACGAAGCAAGATCCTGTCTGAAAAAGAGCAGGGTATGGTAGTGTCTGTAGTCTCAGCTGGGATGCTGAGGCAGAATTGTGATATAGCCAGACACTATTTAGAAAATTTAAAAATGGCTGCATGAATTATATATGTTGTATAGTGAAATAAATTACTTGGTCTGAGACTTTTGTAGTCTTATTTTTTTCAAATTTAAAAAACTTTCTTTTTCTTTTTTTTTGGAGAGGTTTTTGCTGTGGGACACATGCACTTGCCAGAAAGAGAGAGACAGAGAGACAGAAAGCGAGAAATCAGTCCCCAGGGGGATGGCTACACCACAATCCCTTCTCCATTCTCCTCTCAGGATCTTGGGCACACAAGCACATGTGCTAGCGTGAGTTTAAGCCACCGAGTCTGGGACTCGAACCGGGGTTAACTACAAGGGAGTCCAGCAACATAGCCATTACGTCAACTGCTGGTCCCTCTCTTTCTTTCTTTCTTTTTTTTTATAAGAATCATTTATTTTATTCCATTTATTGTTATTATTATTATTATTATTATTTTAATTTGACCAGACAGAGACAGAGAGAAAAAGGGAAAATGAAAAAGCAAGCTGCCAGATCCAGGACTTGAACCAGTCAGACATGTGAGAATCGAGCACCTTTTTCCACTACACTGCCTGCGGCCCTTGAAATTTTAATTTCTTTAATGAGACAGAGACAAGCACCCTCGACACCCTTAACAGGGACTGGTCACGAGTGTTCGGGTCAGCCCTAGGGCTTTTGCTGCAGAACAGCATGCTGCTTCCTGTGCCGCCACAGTTGAGCCTGTAGTCACTTTTACAATGACATGCAGAATCGTTTCAGAAGCGCTCAACAACATGGAGATCAAAATTTCTCAGAGATGAAAGCTCTTTACTTTCTTTTTAAAATGATTTTTATTTTATTAATTATTATTATTTTTTTTAATATTTGCTATAGGGTATGTATGCTCACCAGAGAGAAAGGGAAAGTGAGAAAGCAAGCTGCCAGGTCCAGACCTCGGACTATGGTCAGCCATGTGGGAATCTAGCACCTTAACCACCTCACCACCTGCTGGCCCCTTTAGTTACTTCCTTGAAGAGTTTTTTTGTTTTTTGTTTTTTTTTTTTGCTATAGGTACGTGTGCTTGCCAAATAGACGAGAGAGACAGAGACAGAAAGCGAGAAATCACCTGCCGGGGGGGATGGCCATGCTGCAATCCCTTCTCCTCCTTTCTCCTCTCGGGATCTTGGGCACGCTAACACATGCGCCCAGCGTAAGTTTTAAGCCAATAGGTCCGGGGCACGAACCACTGTCGACTATATGGGAGTCCAGCAACATAGCCATTATGCTAACTGCTGGTCACAAGAGAAAATTTTTTTAAAGAACTACTTGTTATCATTTTTCAGTTTTGAACAGAGAGAGACAGAGAGCAAGTGGCCAGGTCCGGGACTCAAACTGCAGTCAGCCATGTGGAGTCCAGTGCCTTTAACCACCATGCCACTTGCTAGCCCCCTTGAAGAGAAAATTTTAATTTCACTCTATAGGTTTTTGTTATTCTTGGATAAAATATTAGGCTGTTGAAAAAATCATCATGGATTTTTGCATAGGAAAAGTATGTCATGACTTCCAACAACACAATAGTTTTCCTTTATAATTGTGTGACCTCTTAAGACACTAAGTGGTGAGAAGAATCATTCCCTTCATTACAAGACGTTAGCTATTTTTCCCATTTTAGCAAATATTAAGTTAATATTAAATATCTAGTTTAAAATCTGTATATATTTTTGATACTATTTTGTGTTTTGTCATTCTACAGGCAGTAGGCTATAGCTGCATGCCCAATAACAAGGACGAAGATGGATTAGTTGTTTTAGTTTTCAACAAAAAAGAAACAGATATTCGAAGTCAGCAACAGCAGTTGGTAGAATCATTGCATAAAGTTTTGGGAGGAATCCAGACCCTCACTGTAAATGTAGAGGGTATTAAAACATTGCCAGATGACCAGTAAGTATACATTAAACATACTGTTTTTTTCTGTGTGCCCTGGTCTAAAGGGAGTGATGAACAGCATCTGTGTTGCTGAAGCACAAATGAAATCTCAGGGCAGAATGTTAATTCTTAGCTAAAATTATGCAAACATTTGTTTAAAAGCTTTTTTCTTAATTTTGGATATTTTAGCTTATGGTATGATAGTAATTAGATTTTTCACTTAGGAAGGGGGGAAACATTTATAAACTGCAAAATTGAGGGGCACCAAGACATTGGAAAGTTTATTATCTGATTACTATATAATGTTAATTCATGGATAAATATGACGACCTTACCTCTCATCCTATGTATAATTTTCAGTGGATTTAACTTTAGGATATTCAAGGTTAAAATAATTATTAATGAGAGATAACTGAATTCAGTTTTACTTCTCGGTTTTAATTGCAGGGAAGTAACCCTTTAGTTTCGGCAGAAACTCCAAAGTACTTCTCAAATTCTGGAAAAATAGTAACATTTATGCAGGACTTTGCAGCCAAGCAAGCCCTTTACACATATTGTCTGCTTCCTTTTAACTTTAACGTTGGAGTTGATTTACATGTGGAACGTAGGTTTCTTATTTTCCAAGGGTTTTGTTTGTTTTGCCACAGGGCATGTGTACATGCATGAGAGAGAGAGAAAGCACCCCCTGAGAGGGCCTGGCCACCTGGATCGCCTTTTCTTCCTTTTCTTTGTCCCATCAGGTTCCTGGCCAAGTGTGCATGTGCCTGACATGTTTCTTACTCATCACAGTTGGCCACATGAGATCCCACTCCCTGTGCTCACCTGCTACACTGTGGAGCTGGTCCTTTATTTTTCAAGATTTAAGAAAAATTTTCTTCTCTTCTAAAACAGTCATTTCTGAATTCAAGTAGCACCCTTCTAAAATCACACCACTTTGATGTTTTTGGCTATGTACGCTGCGTTTTATAAATTGGTTATTTCCCTCAGGACAGAAGTTGTCATTTATGTTGTTGAGCGATCTCCAAATGGTACTTCAAGAAGAGTTCCAGCTACAACACTGTATGCCCATTTTGAACAAACCAACGTAAAAACACAATTGCAGCAGCTCGGCGTAACTCTTTCTATGACTAGAACAGAACTTTCTCCTGCGCAGATCAAACAACTTTTACAGAATCCTCCTGCTGGTATGTTTCCAGAGTCACGGAGTTGAGAAAATAAAAGATTTAGAAATAAAGGGTTCTCCCTATTTAGGAAGGTATTGGTTGGTTTTTACTGTTAGTGAAACCAGTGTCAGTTTGTCACAGGTTCACTTATTTAGGACATAGTTTTGAATATTTGTATTGTATTGATAGATTGATTTTATTTATTTATTTTTAATAATGTAGCTAATATGTCTGTTAGAAATTTTGGGAAAGGGGGCCAACAGATGACATAGTGTTTAAGGGTGCTAGACTGTCTGTTTGAGTGCATTTAGCTTTTCATTCTTTGGCCCTGGGAGTGAGGAGGAGGATTATAGACATTTTATTACTACTGTTATGAGTGCTGCGATTTCGTCTGATAGGGAAATGGTATTCTGTTCACTGCAACTTAACAATAATAGTTCTATACAGCTACCTTCCACTCTGCAACAGTTAATATTCTTGTAAGTATGTCTTAGAACACCTGGGTATATATTTCCTTAGTTCTATGATAATGAATGTTATGTACATTAGATATACATATACCAAATTATCCTCCAAAGAAAATTCTGATATTTATAATAGTAATATGTTATTTTTCTTAATTATTTTTTGCCACCGATATTAGAAATTCAATTTAAAAATTAACATTTATTTTAATTTGGATTTCCCTAGTTACTAGTAAAATTGAACGTCATACCATATGTTTATTAGCTACATATCAGTATTTTTTTTTGTGAATTACCTATTCATGTTCTTTGCCCGTTTTCTATTAGTTTTTTATTGTCTTTTGCTCTCTAGGAGCTCTTTCTACATTCTGGAGATTAACATATTATTCTCCAGGTTGTAGATATTTTCTTTAAATCTGCTCCCCTCCTTTTTTGACTTTATCCTACAAAAATCTTTGTTTTTATAGTACTCATATTTGACATTCATGTTTTCATCATAGCGTCTAGATTTTGGGTCTTACTTTAGGGAAACATTTCCCATACAGGTGGCATAATGGTTTCGTCACTGGACTCCCACGTAGTTGACGTGTTTTGAGTCCTGGACCCAGTGCCTTAAAACTCACACTGGGAGGGGACCAGCAGTTAGCATAATGGCTATGTCGCTGGATTACCATGTAGTCGACCGTGGTTCACGTCCCGGACCCCGTGACTTAAAACTCAACGCTGGGTGCGTGTGCGTGCGTGCCCAGGATCCCAAGAGGAGAATGGAGAAGGGATTGTGGCGTGGCCATCCCCCCTGGGGAATGGTTTCTCGCTTTCTGTCTGTCTCTGTCTGTCTGGTGAGCGCATGCGCCCTATAGCAAAAACCTCTTAGAAAAAAAAGAAAACTCACACTGGGCGTGTGTACGTGCATGCCCCAAATCCTGAGATTAGAATGGAGGAAAAGGGATTGCAGTGTGTGGCCATCCTCCCTGGGGGGTGATATCTCACTTTCTGTCTCTGTCAAGTGGACACTCCCTATAGCACAAATCTCTTGAAAAATACAAATAAATAAATAAAAATTAAATACTGTTTTAAAAAATACTTTTTTTCTGTGTGGTAGGTGTTGATCCTATTATCTGGGAACAAGCCAAAGTGGATAACCCTGATGCTGAAAAGTAAGCATATCTTCATCTTGTTTCATAAGGACTGATATTTGTTAATAGGGAAGCAAACAGATGTGAGCAATTAATTACATTTTTTACATTTGAGGCAAGTGCATTTTTATTTTCACTGTTTAAGAAATACCAGCTACGATGAGGTGTTATAATGTGATGAAACGTAAGTAGGTATGGAGAAATCTGAGTACCAGTTCTCTGATTACATTTACATTAAATACAATTTTTTCACTGAATTATATTTCCTCATTTGTAAAATGGGGAAATTGAATAAAGTCTCTACAGTATAACATTGTTGATTTCATAATCATAGATGTACCTTAGATCCTAGAAATTTGGTTGTAAATTACATGAGTGTTATGAAAATTTTAAATTCTTGTATTTTGTAATAAGCTTAAGACCTGAAAATTGACCTATTGCATTTCTTTAGGTTAATTCCTGTACCAATGGTGGGTTTCAAAGAACTTCTCCATAGACTGAAGGTTCAAGATCAGATGACTAAGCAGCATCAGACCAGATTAGATGTAAGCATTTAGCTTTTCATTCTTTGGCCCTGGGAGTAAGGAGGAAGATTATAGACATTTAATTACTACTAATATGAGTGCTGCGATTTTGTCTTATAGGGAAACGGTATTGTGTTCACTGCAACTTAACAATAATAGTTCTATACAACTACCTTCTTTATGATAGACTCACCCAAATTGTGTAAATCTAATGATATGTTTTAATAGTGAAATTAGAATTGTTGGCTTAGTAAATTAAATACTCTCTCTCTTTTTAATTATTAAATTGCCAGAGGGCATGTGTGCTCACCAGAGATAAAGAAAAGAGAAAACACCCCCTTATGGGGTGTGGCCATGCCACGATTCCTTCTTCATTTCTCCACTGTCAGGATTGTGTGTATGCACACATGAACCAGGACTGGGATTTGAACTGTGCTGTTGGCCATGTGGGATCTAGCTCCCTTAACTACTAGACCACAGGACTTACCCTAGATGCTCATTTTCAATGCCTGCCAGAGATTATAAATCATTTCTTTTTTAAAAAATTCTGGAGGGTGCATGTGCTCACCAGAGAGAGAGAGAGAGAGTGAGTGAGTGGGAGAAGGCACTCTCTGCAAAAGGACATGGCCTGCCACAATCCATTCTTTTCCATTTCTCCATCTTCTCCAAACTTTGGGCACAGACACATGCCTGGCAAGTGTTTTTCAGTCCACCAGGGCCAGGACTTAAACCTTAGCCAGTTGAGATCGAGCTGGCCCTACATACTATTTCTGTTATTAAATTGTTGTTATTTATGAGACCGTAAGAAAATGAAGGCTACATGATAATAATATTTTTATTTTGACATATCGTACCTGTGGGTGCATGCACTTGCTTGAGAGAGAGAGATCGAGAGGGAAAACAAGAAAGTAACCCATGGAGCATGGTCATGCCACAGTCCCTTCTCCTCAGTTTCTCTCTGCTTTCAAGGCTTGGGTGTACACACACACACACACACACACACACACACACTCAGGGTATTTTCCAAGCCACTGGGTCTGGGGCTCAACTGTGTCATGGGAATCCAGCAGCCTTAACCACCAGGCCATGGGATGATCCTAATTCTTTGTTTTGTCCTAATACATTACAGTGTCTGGGTATATTATTGTATATTATTGATGAAGCAAACTTAAATGATTGAATTTTTAAATCTAATATTTTATTTCACAAAGTGGACTTTTATAATCAAATGCTTAGATGCCGTTAAGGGTTACCTCCCTGTTCTCTGACATGGAACTCCTGATGAGCTATTTCTTCAGATTCTGAGTAGAAACTTGCTGTTCTGTGATGCGGTCCATCTCATTGTCAGCCTGGTAGGATTTCTCTTTTTTACATTGACCAGAGTCTGCCTGTCTCAGTTCACAGCCCATGTTCTCTGGCACCGCTTTGTGATACTCACTGTGCTTCTTGTGACAGCCCTACAGATACTTGAACATTACTCATGTTTCCTTTTTTTATTAGTATTTTAAATTAATTATTATTTATTTATTTTTAAAAATTTGATCAGAGAAAGAGAGGTTTTGGGGCCAACAGATGGCCTAGTGGTTACATTACTGGACTCACACATGGCCAATCACAGTTGGAGTCCTGGACCAGTGACTTCAAAATCAGACTGGGTGCATGTGCAAGGATCCCTGAAAGAAAAGGGAGGAAAGGGGATTGTGGCATGGCCATCCCTCCTGGAGAGTGAATTCTCACTTTCCTTCTCACTGTCTGTCTCTCTCTCCAGTGAGCCCATGTGCCCTAAGGCAAAAACCTCTCAAAAAATAAGAGAGAAACTTACAGTTTTATTAATCTTTCAAAAAGAGTAAGCTTTTGGTTTCTTTGGATGGAGAAGTGGTGGCGAGAGAAACTTAAAGTTTTATTAATCTTTCAAAGAGTAATCTTTTGGTTTCTTTGGATGGAGAAGTGGTGGCAAAGGGTTTGCAGTGTGACCATACCCCATTGGGAAGTGTTTTCTCCCTCTCTTTCTCTGGTGAGTGCACACCCTTCTGGCAATTAAACAAAAATCAATAAAATATATATTGGACTACATTAATTTTTGGCAGTAGATTCAGTAGTGACATTCAGTACTTCGAGTCATCTCTAAAGCCTTTCTCTCCCCATAATGTCATTTTTATAGAACTTTTTCCATTCAGGCCTGATTCTTAGTCCTGCTCCATATTAACTTATTTCTGAAGAATATATCTTATTTTTCCTATACATTGCCAAATCACTAAATATCTTGAACTACAAAGAAAATTTTGAATGTACTTCAACATTTTATAGATACGGGCCAGCCAGTGGCAGGTGGTTAGTGTGGTTAAGGAGGCCCATGTGGCAACAGCACAGTTTCAGTCCCAGAACCCAGCAGATTGGGGAAAAAACATGGTAAGCCCGTGTGCAGGCGTGCCCGAAATCCCAAAAGGGAGAGAGCAGTGGAGGAGAGGGATTACAGTGTTACAGTTGCTGTCTCGCGTTAGCTCTTTCCCCTCCACCCCCAAGTGAGCACCATGTGCCCTCCAGAAAGGCTTTTAAAATTAGATATAGAAAAAGAAAAGGACTATAGAGGCGCATTTAAAAGGAGAGTTTATATTTTGAGATGCATCCTAGGCTTATCTCATACTTTGCATATAGGTGTACTGATATATAGCTGTAATACCTATACTTGATTTACATACTTTTTTTGTCTAAACAGATTATATCTGAAGATATTAGTGAGCTACAAAAGAATCAGACCACAACTATGGCCAAAATTGCGCAATACAAGAGGAAACTCATGGATCTTTCCCACAGAACCTTACAGGTAGTAATGTGGAAAATATTTTTCAGCGTTCTATGGGCTCAATGTGGATCTTCATAATAGAAGAAACAGACTAAAAGGAAATAATAATGATAGTATGAAACTAAATTTATGACACTTCCTCAGTAAAACATAGCAGTTGGTGGGGAAGTCTTTTTTTCTTAGAGATTTTTGCTATAGGGTAGGGGCAGTCTTTTTTTCTTAGAGATTTTTGCCAGAGAGAGACAGAGACAGAAAGCGAGAAATCACCTCCCAGTGGGATAAACATACCGCAATCTGCAATCCCTTCTGGAGGCGAGGTCTTATATGGCTGAGTGAGGAGAGCATAAATATTCTGAAGTTAGCATCTCTGTGTGGCAGGCTCGTATCAAATCATTGATATTTGATTTTCATAAAATAAAAAACAATTTTTTTTGTCCTTGAGTGTTAAAAAGGGGAGTGTAACATTAGCAACCAAAATGACAGAATTTCCAAATTAACAAGAGGAAATAAAAGGATGAATAGCAACTGACATTATAATGAATAAAACCCGTCATTATCAACTATCATGAAAATAGAAATAGGACATACCAGAGCCAGTGGGTCACAGCAAAAACTGTACTCAGGAAAATTCATAGCCCTTAAAAAGTCTTCATTTTTAAAAATCAAATTAAAAAAACCCAAAGTAACAGTATTTGTCAAAAATTTTAAAAAGAATATCAGGGTAAGCTGCAAGAAACTAGTAGGAGGGAAATAAAGATAAATGTGAAATCAGTGACACAATAAGAAAGATCAAAATTGAAAGAATAAATTCAAAGCTGTTTTCTTGGGGCCCATAGATGGAGTAATGGTTATGTCGCTGGACTATCCCACATGAGCAACTGCGGTTCGAGTTCTGGACCTGGTGGCTTGAAACTCAGACTGGGTGCATGTGCATGCATGCCCAAGACCCCAGGAAGAGAGTGGAGAAGGGATTGTGGCATGGCCATTCCCCCTGGGGAGTGATTTTTCATTTTCCCTCTCATTGTCTCTCATTGTCTCTCCCTCCCTTCCCAGCAAGTACATACACACTGTAACAAAAACCTCTAGAAAGAAAAAGCTGGTTTTTTTTAAAAGACCATTGAAATGCCTCAACATCTCATGAGCCTAAAGAAGGGAAAAAGCAAAATATATACAATTAGTTGTGAGAATTTTGCCAAAATATTAAGAACAGAGTAAGAAAATATTGTATGCATTACTGCAGGGCAACAGGTGTGAAATCTAGGGGAAACATGTTTTTCTTTTTAATTAGCAAAGTAAAAATCATCAAAATTAATCTACTGAGAAGTGTCAAACATAGACACTGATACCACAGAAGGAACTGGGAAAGTTAGGAAAGATGAACCATGTGATAAAACACCAAAATCAGATAGTTTCAAAGCTGGATTTTGTATAACCACTAAAGAGCTCATTCTAGTGTTACTGTTTAATTATTCTAGACAACCGAGGGAAATGAGAGTGAGTTCCCCATTTGTTTTAAGTGTTACTGAGAAGGATTCACACAACATGCAGTTTATCCATGGAAAGCATACAGTCCCAGAGTTTTAGGGTATCACAGACTTGTGCAGTCACCACCATAGGTAGTCAGCTTTAAAACGTTTTCACATCATCCTAAATGGAATCGCCTTACCGATTGGTAGTCATTCTGCTTTTCAACTTGCAGTCTGCCATTCCAGGTATCTAGTTTTCCTCTGTGGATTCGCCTCTTCTGGTTGCTGCATATAAATGGAATCATACAGTACATGGTCCTTTGTGACTGACTTTCTTCAGTTAGCATCTTTTTTTTTTATTTTTTTTTTTTTAAGAATTATTTTTTTAACTTTGTTTTAATTTTACCAGAGAGGGACACAGAGAGAGAGAAAGCCACCAGGTCCAGGACTCAAACCATGGTCAGCCATGTGGCAGTCCAGCGCTTAAGGTTCATCTGTTGTACCATGTAACAGTACTTCATTCCTATTTGTTGCTGAATCACATTCTACTGAATAAATGTGCCACGTTTTCAATGTATCTACTCATCAGCTTTTGGACATTTTGGCTACTGTGAATACTGTTGCAATTAATATTCCTGTACAAGTGTTTATGTGTGCATGTCCTTCCACTTCTCTTGGGTATAAAGAGTAAACTTGCTGGGTCATATGGTAACATTAAGTTTGTTTTCTGTTGTTTTTTTTTTTTTTTCCAGAGAGGTTTCTGCTACAGGGCACGTGCACTCACCAGAAAGAGAGAGATGGAGAGACAGAAAGCGAGAAATCACCCCCTAGGTGGGATGGCCATGCTGCAATCACTTCTCCTCCATTCTCCTCTCGGGATCTTGGGCACGCACATACACGCGCCCGGTGTGAGTTTTAAGCCACCAGGTCCGGGACTCGAACTGTGGCCGACTACATGGGAGTCCAGCGACATAGCCATTACGCTAACTGCTGGTCCCGGTAACATTATGTTTTAACTTTAGCTTTTTGAGGTGCTGCCAAACTGCTTCCCAAAGGAGCTGCACCTTTTTTTTTTTTTTGAAGATTTTATTTTCGATTTTTGTCATAGGGCCTATGCACTCAATGGAGAGACATACTCCCTTCTCCATCGTCCCCTTGAGATTTTGGGCACACGTACACCAATGCTCAGTGTGTTTCTCAAGCCCCTGGGTCTGGGACTCAAACAATGGAGTCTGCCATGTGAGATCCAGCAGTTTAATCTCCACACCACCTGCTGGCCCTTTTAAATCATAGAATACCATAGTTTTAAGTTGTTTAGCATACATCAGTGTGTACTTTGTTGCTAACTTCTGCATAGTTAAAACAGACAAAATCATAGTAAAAATCTCTTGTTATTTCTACTTTATTGTTGATGTAATTTTCAGCTGATTGCCTTTGACAGTCGTAAGAAAACTACTTGTATAACTGAAGAGATGATTCTAGTGATATTGGTGGGTGGCTTTCTTTTGTTTAGGTCCTAATCAAACAGGAAATTCAAAGGAAGAGAGGCTATGCCATCCAGGCTGGTGAGGAGGAGTTGCGGAGTTCAGCTAGATACAATTCAGTGTGAACTGAATGCACCTACCCAGTTCAAGGTAAGCACTCCTAAGACCATTAAACTAGGATTTGTTTCAGGTGATCTTCAGAGAGCTGTTACATAGGTTGTTTTGTTTTTTAGGTTTTTGCCATAGGGCACATGCCCTTGCTGGGGAGAAGGAGAGAGAGACAGTGAGAAGGAAAGTGAGAAATCATCCCCAAAGGAAGGATAGTGATGCTGCAATCCCTTCTCCACCAGTCTCCTCGTAGGATTTTGGGCACGCATGCACGTACACCCAGCCTGATTTTCAAGCTGCAGGGTCTGGGACTTGAACCATGGTTGGCCATGTGGTAGTCCAGTGCCTTAACCACTATGCTACCTGCTGGCTCCTGTTAAGTAGTCTTTAAGGAAGCATTTAGTATACTTAGCTTATTAAGCATTTGTTCCCATTCATTAAAATTTCTGTTTCTGAAGTAAACTCTAGGTCACAATTCTTGTCTTGGTGTTTCAAATAATGCACAGAGGGAGAATTAAGGATTTTTAATATATGGTTCTGAAACTATTCTTTCAAAAGAAACATTTTAGAAATGGTTGCTGTTGTAAGTTGTAATTTGACTCAGTCTTTATTTTTAGGGCCGACTAAATGAACTGATGTCCCAAATCAGGATGCAGAATCATTTTGGAGCCGTGAAATCTGAAGAAAGATATTACATAGATGCAGATCTGTTACAAGAAATCAAGCAGGTAAAATGTTGCACAAGGGTGCCCTTTTCAAAGGGCGAGTTTGCCACTTCCTCTCTATTAGGATGGCTGTTACCCCAAAACAGAAAATAAGTTTTGGTGAAAATGAAGAGTAAAATTTAGAACCTAAATGCACTGTTAAGGAAGGTAACATGTTGTCGTCTTTATGGAAAACAGTGGTGGTTCCTCAGAATATTAAAAATTGAATTGCCCTGTGCTCTAGCAATTCTAATTTTAGATGTATACCCAGTGAAATTGAAAGCAGGGACTCAAACAGGTGTTTGTACACCCATGTTCAGAGCATGATACACAATAGCCAATGTGGAAGTAACCCAGATGTTTATCAAGAGATAAACAGAATGTACGCACATACACAATGGAATATTATATAGCCTTTACAAAGAAGGAAATAGAAACTGTACCACGAACAAGTCTTGAAGATGTTACATTAAATTTAATAAGCCAGTAGTAAAAAGACAAGTATCGCACTGCTCCTCGCATGTGAGGTACCTAGAGAAAGAGTAGAGCAGTCCTTGTCAGGAGCTTAGGGGAGGAGAAATGGGGTGTTATTTAATGGATGCAGAATTTCAGTTTGGAAAGGTGGAAAGTTCTAAAAAATGGAGGGGGGTGGTGGTTGAGGCAACATGAAAGTACTTACTGCCGTTGTACTGGGCACTTAAGAAGGTAAGATGGTAAAATTTATGCCTGTTTTACCATAATAAAAAGCAATGAGTGAGACCAGCAGTTAGCATAATGGCTATGTTGCTGGACTCCCACGTAGTCGACCACGGTTTGAGTCCTAGACCCGGTGGCTTAAACTCAGCCGGGCACATGTGCGTGCATGCCCAAGATCCTGAGAGGAGAATGGAGGAGAAGAGATTGTGGCATGACCATCCCCCCTGGGGGGTGATTTCTCACTTTCTGTCTCTCTGTCTTTCTCTGTCTTTCTGGTGAGTGCACACGCCCTATAGCAAAGGAAAAAAAAAAAAAAAACTCTCCAAAAAACAAACCAAAAACCGGTGAGTCATCATCCTTCTCCCCAGCTGTCTTCCACATACACACGAAAGGTGAATTTAGAGGTAGCAGAGGTACTGAAGTTCCCAGGACCTGCTAATTAAAGCGCGGCACCAGTACGACTCAGTTTGGTCATCAGAAATGCAAAGTCTTGGTCCTTATTCCAGACTACTACGTTGCACTTTATCAAGATCACAGACTGATCGGTATGCCTGTTACAGTTTGAGAAGCAACTGCTCTAGATCATACCAGCCCAGCCTGTATGCCACAGATGAATAACAAATACATGTGCTGGGTTATTGGTTCTTTCAGCCTTCAAGGGACTTGGGTAGCCAGAACCTCTAACGGCTTATCTGAGGCTCAACCTGTGTTAAAAAGTTGGGAGAAGCACTGCTGTCACTTATTCTCGTTTAAACACAGATTGGTTTAGTGGAAGTTGTTCAGACATTATGTCTAATGGTATTTTAAGAAGATGAAGGATGGGGCCAGCAGGTGACGTGATTAAGGGCACTGGCTGACTGTGGTTCAAGTCCTGGACCTGGTGGCTTCCTTACTCTCTCTCCCACTCTCTACCCCAGTCAAATTAATAAGTCAATAAAGTTAAATAAAATAATTTTCCCCAAAGAATTTAACTTTATTTATAATTATTATTATTTTCTAGTTTGATCAGCAGAGAGACAGAAAGAAAGTGAGAAAGCAAGCCACCAGGTCCAGGACTTGAACCAGGGTCTGCCACGTGGGAGTCCAGTGCCTTGAACCTCTATGCCGCCTGCTGGTCCAAAATAAAACAAGTCTTTTTTTAAAAAAAAGAAGGTGTAGGCCACCCCACAGCTTAATAGTTAAGTGAATCCCACGTGCCCCACATCGGCTCCAGTGGCTTGTAAAACATTCCAGGTGTGTATAAGCATGCCCCAGATCCCAGCAGGATGGAGAAATAGCAGAAACGATGGTGTAACCGCACCAAATTGTGGGGTTGCTTTCTTCCTCTCTCTTTCCAACAAGCACATGTGTTCTTTGGCAATTAAAAAATATAATAACATATTAGGTTGCACTGTTAGGATGCCCTGAGAATTTTAGATGTGAATAAATATCAACAAACCCAATTTTATTACGTGTTTTAGGTTTTCTTTTTTTTTTTTCTTTTTTTGAGAGAGAGATTTTTGCTGTAGGGCACCTCTGGCTGGAGAGAGAGAGATAGAGAGACAGAAAGTGAGAAATTACCCCCCAAAGGGGATGATAACACAATCCTTTCTCCGGATTTTGGGCATGCACATACATGCACCTGGCATGAGTTTTACGCTGCTGGGTCTGGGACTTGAACCATGGTCAACTGCATGGGATTCCAGAGACATAACCATTACACCATTCGCTAGTCCCCATTTTATTTTTTATTTATTTTTTTAAGGCTTTTGGCCATAGTGTGTGCACACTCACCCAAGAAAGACAGAGGGAAAGAAAGAAATTACCTCCCTGGGAGAGTGGTCCACTACAGTCCTTTCTCCGTTCTCCTCTCAGGATTTTGGGCATGCACTCACTTGCACTAGGCATGTTTTTCAGACCTCAGGGTGTTGGACCAGAACCCTGGAGTGGGCCATGTGGGATCCAGTACCTTAACCACCATGCCACCTGCTGGCCCAAATACATAGATTTTTTTTAAAGTAAACAGTTTATAAACAGTTGTATATTGTTTTATGCAACTAAAAACTAATTTGGCTCCTATGTTCTTAGAAAGTATACATATCACGACCAGCAGATGGCATAGTGGTTACATCTCTGTACTCCCACATATTTGACCATGGTTCAAGACCCAGACCCGGTGGCATAAAACTCAGCCGGACACATGTGTGTGTGTCTGAAATCCCGAGAGGAGAATGGAAGAGAAGGGGTTGCGGCTTGGCCACCCCCGAGGGGGTGATTTCTTGCTTTATGTCTGTGTCTCTCTCTGGCAAGCACACATGCCTTCTAGTAAAAATCTCTCTCAAAAAAAAATAAGTAAAATTAAAATGTACTGGAATTAATGATGGTAAAAATATACATATAAAAAATTAAAGGATAGTATGCATATCACAAAATTCAATCTGTGCAATAAAACTTAGATTCCCCATATTATAATAAAGAGCTATATTAAAGGGTTTGTCTTTTGTTATGAATTGGGAATATGAATAAACGCTCACCTTCTTTAAAATGATGAGAAACAGTGTACTATTGTGGAATTACGTCATGGCGCACCGTCTACTTTATGACATTGCACGGGTACTCACCTGTGTCTCCGATTTCTTTTAACTATTAAGTGGATAATGTGTCCTCACCCAAAGGGTGTGCAAAAGAATTTTTTTTTCTTTTTTTTTTTTTTGCTATAGAGCATGTGTGCTTGATAGAGTTAGAGGGAAAATGAGAAATCACCTCCAGAGGGGATGGCCATCCCCTGAAATCCTGTCTCCAGTCTCAAGATTTGGGGCACACATGCACACACCCCCAGTGTGATTTTCAAGCCACCGGATCTAGGACTTGAACCATGTAGTCCGCCTTTGGGATCCAGTGTCTTGTCTTAACTTCCACACCACTTGCTAGCCCATGCTCAAAGGGATGTAATTGTGCTAAACAAGTTAATACCAGTGAAGCTATTAAAATAGTGCATTAAGACATGGAAAGGACTCTTTTCAAAATATTAGTAACGGGGATCAGCGGGTGTTGTGGTGAAAGTGCTACACTCCTTGGTCAGCCACAAGTCCTAGACCCAGTGGCCTGAAAATCACACCACGTGCATGCCCAAAATTCTGAGAGGAGAATGGAAGAGAAGGGATTAGGGCATGGCCATCTCACACACCCCTACCCCAGGGAGGGGTGATTTCTGACTTTCCCTCTGTCTCTCTTCCCAGCAAACACATTCACCCTATGGCAGAAACCTTAAAAAGAAAAAGCAACCATCATAGTCATCACCATTATCCGTATATATTTTGTACTTTGAAATATGAAAATTCTCAGTTTTGAAATTATTTGGTTAATCATCTATATTCATCTTTTGAGTTTTAATGTCATTCCTTTATTTCATCAAATGATAAAAGGACTGTTTAAAAAACTTACTTTAGAAGATGTTCAGTTTGTTTTAGACTATTGTCTTTTACTCTGTCCTATAAAATTTATTAGCAAAACAAACGGAGTACAAATGTATAAATATGCATGTCTTCTCTATTAAGAGCACTTTACAAGGTATTGTAGTAGTCAAAAATATCCTCTTTTTCCTGTGAGATGCTTGCAGCGTAATAGGTTAAAACATTCATATGCTTTTTTTCTTTCATTCATTTTAGCATTTGAAACAACAACAAGAAGGCCTTAGTCACTTGATCAGCATTATAAAAGACGACCTAGAAGACATAAAGTTGGTAGAGCATGGATTGAATGAGACCATCCACATCAGAGGGGGCATCTTTACTTGACAGTTCATGAACTTCTGTTAGAGGTTTGCATTGTAAAATGCGTCCTCCTACCACTTCGAGCCTTCCTTTAGAATAAAACTGACAGTCCTGACAGTCGGAAAGGAAAGAAAACAGGCCTCTCTTGGCCTGCTTCTTTGAGAAGGTTAATGACGAGTTACCTTTCATCAGATCTGAAATACACAATTACCCAAAGTATACGTACTTTCGTACATTTTTACAACAGCATTTTCTCATCCATAATCAGTGTTTAATGATTATTCTCCATTGAGCCTGCTTTCCATAGCAAGTAAACACGAAATACTTTGCACATAACAAAATAAATTGTATAATTTCTTGACTGTTAGAGATTTGTACTTCAGAGTGTAAAAGTACTTCAGTTTTTATATTTGAATTCATCTCTGAGGGGAGTAAAGAAAATCCAAAATTATTTAATAATTAATATGTTTTTCTTTTTCTTTGAAGATCTGAAAATATATTTTTATATTATTTTACTTATTTGGAATTTACAGAACAAAAATAAGTAATTAGGATATAACAAAATTACTGTTTTTTCAACTTTGTTTTTTAAACCTTTTATTTCTATAAAAGATCAATAAATAAATGCTTAATTTGTAATTACTTTTATAAAATAAAATATCCATCAATGAAATTGAATGTGATAAATAACCTCCCAACAATGAAAAGTCCAGGTCTTGATGGTTTCACTTCTGAATTCTACAAAAACAAAACTTTTTAAAGTTTATTTTACTTTATTAATATTTTTTATATTTTAATTTACATATAATCACAGTGAAAAAGCAAGCCGCCAGATTCAGGACTCGGCTGTGATCAGCCATGCGGGAGTCCAGCACCCCAGCCGTCATGCCACCTGCCAACGCCACAATTCAGGAATTTTAGTCCTTTTTTTTTTTTTTTCTTTTTTCAGGAGTTTTAGTCTTAGGTCTGAATTTCCCCCTCCTAGGACTTTGGTCAATGCTGACACTTTTTAAAAAATAATTATTTTTTGTTTAAATTTATTATTTATTTATTTATTTTAATTTGAGCAGAGAAGGACACAGTGAGATAGAGAGAAAGCAAGCCACCATGTTCAGAACTCAAACTGTGGTCAGCCATGTGGGAGTCCAGCGCCCTTCAGCACCACACCACCTGCCAGCCCCACTTTTTTTTTTACATTTATTTACCTACCAATTTATTTGTTACGATTTTCACAACACCAGGTCCAGGACTCTATTCATGGTCAGCTATGTGGGAATCCAGCACCCCAGCAACTACCTGCTGGTCCAGTGCTGGTCCATTTTAACTCCAGAGTATGACAAGTAAAACTTCATGTTATCATCTAGGATAAAGAATTTCTTAAGAAATCAGGAGTACCTGAATACACTAGGAAATCTAAGACAATATGAGCTACTGATTCTTCAACAACCGTATCTTTTTTTTTCCCTAAGAGTTTTTTTTTTTTTTTTTGAGAAGTTTTTGCTACTGGGTGCATGCACTTGCCAGAGAGACAGAGACAGGAAGCAAGAAATCACCACCCAGGGGGGATGGCCAAGCCACAATCCCTTCTCCATTCTTCTCTCGGAATCTTGGGCACGCATGCACATGCACTGGCATGAGTTTAAGCCACCGGGTCTAGAACTTGAACCGCAGTTGACTACATGGGAGTTCAGTCATACCACCATACCACCTGCTGGCCCCAACAACTGTATCATTTTAAACGGTACTTCTGAACACATACCATAAACTTGGACTGCATCATGTGGGACCCTTTTAAAACACTTCAACTTTTCACTTCTTTGTGATGCTTTGGCTTAAAGTGAGCAGAGTCAGGGATCTTGATATGGATTTACTGTGGGGTGGTAAGGAGTTGATGCTTTGTGTATCTACAGTGCATACTCAGAACCTGCTGAAGGAATTTCTCCTCACTTGCAGACTAAGAATTGTATAGGAAACTGGTAAGTTTAAAATTATGTTTCTTTCCAAATTGGCTGCCAGAAGTTTACACCCACATTTGCCAAGCTTATTTGTAACATGCAAATTTCTTACACCATCAGTAGTGCCTTCTGTTTTGTTTCTCTAAGGTTTATAGGGTGCAATTGCTTGCTGGAGACAGTGCGAGGGAAAGTGAGTAATCACCTCCTAAGGGGGTGCAATGTCTTCTCCATTCTCCTGAGATTTCGGGCATGCACGCACATGTGCCTGGCATGATTTTCAAGCCATCGGGTCCAGGTCTTGAACCAGTCGGCCATGTGGGAGTCCATGTCTTAACCACCATGCCACCTGCTGGCCTTTTACTGCCATTCTTGAGTTCTACCAGTGTTAGGAGAGGGATTTCTTTCTCTCCTTGTCCACATTTTCTCGGCCCAGAAGATAGGCACTTCCATTCTTCACTGAGTCATACAATGTCATTGATAAGTCCCTCATGCTAACGTCAAGCCTTTCATTTCTCTTGTTCTCATGTTAGGTCCTTGGTTCCACAACATAAATACACCTACCTAGGGCCCAGGGTCTGTCTTTGAAGCCAGGCCCGGTTATTACCCTGAATTACCATCCTGACAACTAGATGTGTAAGGCAAGTTGGTGGTCCTTGTTAATATGGCTGGTTTGATAACTGGATTCAGTCAGTACTGCAGGTGTGTGAGCAAGTGATGATAAAGGCTGAATTTTGTATCCTTCAAAAATATGGATTCAGGCTGGAAACCAGCAGTTAGCGTAATGGCTATGTCGCTGGACTCCCACGTAGTCGACCGCGTTTCGTGTCCCGGACCCGGTGGCTTAAAACACGCCGGGCGCATGTGCGTGTGTGCCCAAGATCCCGAGAGGAGAATAGAGGAGAAGGGATTGCAGCGTGACCATCCCCTCTGGGGGGTGATTTCTCGCTTTCTGTCTCTATGTCTCTCTGTCTGTCTGGTGAGCGCATGCACCCTATAGGGAAAACCTCTCACCCCTCCCCCCCCAAAAAAATACATGGATTCAGGGACCAGCAGAATGGTTATGTCGCTGGATTCCCACATAGTCGACCCTGGTATGAGTCCTAGATCTGGTGACTTAAAATTCTTGCTGGGTGCTTGTGCATGAGTACCCAAGATCCCGAGAGGAGAATGGAGAAAAAGAGATTGATTGGCCATTCTCCCAAGCAGGTGATTTCTCGCTTTCTGTCTCTCTGTCTCTCTCTGTCTCTGGTGAGTGCACGCACATTATAGCAAAAAAAACTCTAAAAATGTTTGCGCTATTTGAAAATGCGCATGGAACACACTGCCACTGTCTTGTTTGAAATAGAACAGCATGTTAAACTGTACCTTGAATGGAGAGGAAAAAAAATGAAGATAGAAAACTGCTAAAAAGCTCAAAAACTCTTAAAAAGACCCATTTCAGCCTCAGAACTAAATTATGTTCTGTAACACAATTTACTAGAAGTTGTAAATTCAGTCCTCTCACCCCTCCCCCCCCAAAAAAATACATGGATTCAGGGACCAGCAGAATGGTTATGTCGCTGGATTCCCACATAGTCGACCCTGGTATGAGTCCTAGATCTGGTGACTTAAAATTCTTGCTGGGTGCTTGTGCATGAGTACCCAAGATCCCGAGAGGAGAATGGAGAAAAAGAGATTGATTGGCCATTCTCCCAAGCAGGTGATTTCTCGCTTTCTGTCTCTGATTCTCTGTCTCTGGTGAGTGCACGCACATTATAGCAAAAAAAACTCTAAAAATGTTTGCGCTATTTGAAAATGCGCATGGAACACACTGCCACTGTCTTGTTTGAAATAGAACAGCATGTTAAACTGTACCTTGAATGGAGAGGAAAAAAAATGAAGATAGAAAACTGCTAAAAAGCTCAAAAACTCTTAAAAAGACCCATTTCAGCCTCAGAACTAAATTATGTTCTGTAACACAATTTACTAGAAGTTGTAAATTCAGTCTTCAACTGGGTAGGGATTCTTGTGGATAGCCTTCATTCATTCAACATTTTGAAGTAAAGTCGTAGAATGAAAGCACATGGAACCCTTAGTAATTAGGTTTTATGTAGCTTTTCTGTGTCTTTGCCAGTGCCTTTAAATCCTTTTTGAAACACTGACAAGTGTAAACACATCTCATTTACAAAGCTCACGCCTCTATCAGTCACTGTTTAACCACGACAGTACCCCAGGCCAAAGGGAACTGTACTGTATAACATTTTCCTTGCTTGACATATGTTATTCTTCAGTCCTTCTCGGATTACAATGACATTTAAATCAGTACATAAACGAAACATTCTGTCAACTATTGTGTTCACGAAAAATATTGATAGGCTGAGGGAAGATGAGCTTGAAAGCAAAGTTGGATCCTTAGGAGAGGTGAATATCTGTAAAATTCTAATTCTGGTACTAAGTTAATTTTAACCGTTAACACTGGCAATTCTGAAAAATAAAATAGTAATCTTAAAGTCTTTTATTGAAGTCAATCAGAAATAAACAGGTTTTTTTAATCATTAAGATTAATATAGAAATAAGTGAAAAGTTAATTCTGTAACATTATATCTGGACCAACTTCCTAAATTTGCAAAATGAATAACAAATGTACAGTTCCCATTGTATCAGTGACATTGGCCAACAAGTAAAAAAATACATCATTCCTTTTGCTATCCCATGGGATCCCTATAGCCTATTTCAAGTAAAGTATGAGGAAGAATGTCTCAAACTACAGAGCAACGAAGAGATTTACAGCAGAAGCACTGATTAAAACGAGCGTCCCAATCGGTGGAAGGAGCATCTTGCCAGAGGATGCGGAAGGATGGGTTTTGGGACCCGGAACTGGAACTGGAAGTGGAGCTGGAGCTGGAATTGGAGCTGTGAAGGAGAACACATGGTCACCGACCAAAGACATGTTTAATATCAAGCATCATCCATCTATACCCGTTAGTCCTGCATATGTAAACAAAACACTGAAGTTAGAAACTTAAGCTGAAATACGTCCAACTTAAGCTGAAACCGTTTTCTAGCGAGTGCAGCTCGTTACAGAGTTCAGGCCATATTGCCACAGCAGGGCACGCTGCTCTAGGCTCTTATTTGGGACGTCACAGGCTTTTTCATCTGTATAGCCAAGATAATTATGTTTTGTTGAAGTTCTCTAAAATTTTTCTTAGCAGTTTCCTATTTTCATTTTTTTTCTCTTCATTCAAGGTACAGTTTAACATGCTGTTCTATTTCAAACAAGACAGTGTGTTCCATGTGCATTTCCAAACAGCTCAAATAGCACTGGATATGCAGCCATGCACCATGCAGCCACGTTCCAGTCAACACCAGCTGCCTTACACGGTGGTGGTCTCATAGGACTGTAACGGGCAGAAAAGCTCCTATCAGCCAGTTACGTGGCTGTCATAGTGATACTCATGTATTTGTGGTGATGTTGGTGTAAACAAACCAGCACTGCCAGTCGTATAACAATACAGCACAGAGTTATCTCAGTACATAATATATGACAGTGATGGGACCAGAAGTTGGTGTAATGGCTATGTCGCTGGACTCCCACGTAGTCGACCGGGGTTTGCATCCCGGACCTGGTGGCTTAAACTCACGCCGAGCGTGTGTGTGTGTGCCCAAGATCCCGAGAGGAGAATGGAGGAGAAGGGATTGTGGCGTGGCCATCCCCCCTGGGGGGTGATTTCTCGCTTTCTATCTCTGTCTGGCGAGCGCACTTGCTCTATAGCAAAAACCTCTCAAAAATATATATATATATATATGACAGTGATAATAACTATTACAGGTTTATGTATGTATCATTTATAATTTTTGTACTCCTTATTTTAAAGAAGTTTATTATGGGACCGGCAGATGGCATAGTGATTACATCACTGGACTCCCACCCACATGGCCAACTGCAGTTCAAGTCTCAGACCCGGTGGCTTCAAACTCATACTGGGCATATGTACACGCATGCTCAAGGTCCCGGGAAGAGGAGGAGGAGAAGGAATTGCAGCGTGGCCATATCTCCTGGGGAAGGGGGGTGATGTCTCGCTTTCTGTCTCTCTCAGGTGAGTGCATATGCCTTAGAGCAAAAATCCCTCAGAAGAAGATTTTCCCTGTGAAACGGGTGCTTTGTTACGCTGGCAGCAGCCTTACACATCTCGTGTTTATCATGTCTCCGGGCTGCATCATTTTCTCTTGGGCCTCTGTCACGGCCCTTCCAGTAGGACGAGGTATGGAGGTGAAAGAAAGTGATACTGATGAGCCTGACCCTGAATAGGCCTTGGGTAATGTGTGTGTTTCTTGATTTTTTTTACAAAAGTTTAAAACAAAATTCAAAAGTAGAAAAAAAGTTTATAGAATAAATATGTAAATTAAAATAGTTCTGTGCAATGTATTTGCTTATCGTGTCATTATAAAAGAGGTGAAATGTTAAAAAAATTAAAAAGTTACACTAACCAGAAATTATTACCAAAGGAAAAACATTGTTAATAAGTTTAGTGTAGGGGCTGGCAGGTGATGTGGTTAAGGGTGTTGGACTCCCGCATGGCCTACTGCAGTTTGAGTCCCAGACCTGGCAGCTTGCTTTCTCACTTTCTCTCTCTCTCAATATTGCTCTCTCTCTCTCCCCCTCTCTGGTCAAATTAAAATAAATAATTTAAATAAAATAATTCTTTTAAAAATATAAATAAATAAATAAATGTAGTAGAACCTAAGTGTTGATAAAGTCTATCTCTGTGTACAATGATACCCTGGGACTTCACAATCACTCACCACTTAGTGAGTCACCCAGAGCAACTTTCAGTCCTGCAAGCTCCATTCATGGTAAGTGTCCCATCCAGGTATACCTTTTTAAATCTTTTATACTATATTTTCACAGCACCTTTTCTATGTTTCGATATGTTTATAGATACATAAATACTGAACTATGTCATAACCGTCTACAGTGTTCAGTACAGTCACATGCTGTATAGCTGCAGCCTAGCAGCGACAAGCTGTACCACCTGGCCTGGGCGTACAGTAGGCTGTACCACTCGGCCTGCATGTACAGTGGGCTATACCCCTGGCCTAGGCATACAGTACGCTGTACCATGGCTTAGGTGTACAGTAGGCTTACCATCTAGGTTTGCTGATGAAATCGCCTAACGCATTTCTCAGGACATATTCCCATTGTGAAGCGATGCAGGACTGTAATGCATTTTTAAACATAGCTCTGTAAGCTGATAAAAAAGAAATGTTTTTTGACCATACATAACTGCTCTGGAGAAAACCGCTTTCCTTTCATCTGAACTAGTAGAGAGTAGCTGTGGAGTCCATCCATGGGATAATCTGTTCCATGCTGCCCTAAACTCAGGTAAGTAACCTATGGCTTTGTTTTTGTTCAAACCGTCTATGCAGGGGTGGGAGTGAGGGTGATATTATTATTATTATTATTATTATTATTATTATTATTATTAATTTGACCAGAGAGAGAGAAGGGAAGTGAGAAAGCATGCCGCCAGGTCCAGGACTTGAACTGCCATATGGAGTCCAGTGCCTCAACCACCATGCCACTTGCCAGCCCCTCCAGATAGTTTTAATAAACATTAAAACCCAATTTTTATCTAGGGCTGACTGTATTCACTTAGTTTCTTATACTTTTTTTTTATAGAATAGCTTCTAATCTTCTCTAAAATCCAAATTTATTTGCATAAAATCTAAGCATCCATTCTCATGAATCTTTTTAGGATACTCTTAAGCACTTACATACTGAAATGTACTGAAATTTCATTAAGATTATGGTCGGGACTTTGTACCGATGTGTTTTATGGGTTCAGGTATCTCTGTTCTGTGAATAGACAGCATAAGGGATTTAGAAAATACTTGTTAGAAAGTATTGACAGGTAAGCAGCACAGCCTCCAGACACAGCGGAAATGATCATTTCAGGACCGAGTCGAGCTGTCCTCACCACACACTCTGTGACTGGGTATGACATACAGTTATCACGATGCTTTAAACTCTTGCAACTTTGCTCCTTTTACTGGGGAAAAATTAGTTTCTCACTTTTTCCACATTGCAGACATTTATCAATTGAGGAAATGAGATATTTCTTACTAGGATTGTTGATTTTTCCTTGACTTTTGTCTTCTAAAATAAAAAGAGATTTGAGTTAATTGCATTGTATAACCTATTTATCTGGAACTGATGAAAGATTAGGCAAACTTATGTCTGGGAGTAGTAGGTCTGAGGGGCAGGACAAGAGGTTTAGAGGTTATGTGTGGGGTTGGGGGAAGGGCTTAATTTTTCATCTCTGGGTGTTTTTTTAACCATGAATATATGTTTCCATTAAAATAGAGCCCAGGAGTCTTTCTTTCTCAGACTTCTTACGACTGAGCTAACTAGATGATTATGATAAGGGGCTTAGAACTCCTGTGATGCCTCCTTCCCCAGTAAAGGATTTATTACCAGGTGTTTCATCCGGTTGTACCAATTTTATTCCTAAGTGAGAAAGAGATTTTTAGGTAATAATAAAGACAGCTATCATTAGCTACTATTTTGCCACCATTCATTCTGCCAGTACTTTAGCTCACTAGGTCTTTAAGCAGTCCTGCAAGATGGGTTTTCCTCATTTTACAGATACAAGGCCAGAGGTACAGAAAAGTGGAGTAACCCAGAGGAACAGGGCAATGGCGGGACTTTCTGAAGCTGGTCTGTCTGCACAGCTCACGTTCCTTCCCTCGCCTGCTCAGCAGCTCCTTTCAGACCTGTGCTGTGTGACCAGCGAGCCCCAGTGAGAGCACTGCAAACGCGGGTCCAGTGAGCCTCCCAGCTGTAGGCACAAAGGCAGTATCACTAGAGCTTTCCTGCCAGGCTGTGGCCAGAGAATCCAACCGTGCAGACGTGGGTCGGTCTAACAGGGCTGCTAGACCCGCGCTCTGAGCCTGTTTGTGCTCTAGGTGTCCAGTGGGACCTGCAGTTGGTATACACAGCCCCGGTCTGCACAGACAGCAATGGCAGTTTGCAAAGCTCCGTGCCGTGGATGGGTTCAGTACAGCGGACAGCGGCTGTCAGTCTGGTTTCTTTAACAGAGGACCATTCCCGTAATAACAAAACGGCCAAGGAATTGTTTTCAAAGCACTACATACACTCAGGAGAAAAGGGTTCGAGCACTAGATAGGGGCTGGAACGCTGAGATTTTTCTGATTCTCTAGCCCTGCTGCATTTGCCATGAGGTAGCTATGACAGTGTCGGCCACGTTTGAAAGATGACAATTCCGAGGCACACAGAAGTGCCGTCACTGGCCATAGCGCTCTGCTAAATGTATCAGGTCCACTTTTTTCTCTTTGTCTCAGGAAGAAAACTGGGAGGCCTTTGTATTGTTTTCTCCACTGTAAGCATACGTTCTTGGTCATTAGAGACCTGGGCCTTTCACTCGCTTCTCTGATCCTGTACAGATTATGTGGGCTTCCCTGCATGTGGCGACAGTCATGTTTCTACCCCCCAAACAGACACCTTCCCTCCTGTCATACCCTCTATTGCTTACCAGGTAGTGAAAAAGGTTCTGGAATTTTCATTCCTAAATAAGAGAGAAGTTTCAATGACTTAAACAGTTTGCTCCAGAGAGTATACTTTTCAAACTCTTGTCTGTAAGCTCAAAAGAAAAAAGCAAGAAAGGTCCCACTGCACTGTCCTATCGGCCTTTTTATGAACAGTTCTGGCCACATAGTCCCTCACTGTGCAACGCCACACCACTTAGAGGAGTCTTCCACCACAGCACTTCCTGGAACGTGTGTCTGTCTGCCTGGACGATACCTTACTGCAGAGCCAGACGATGGGGTGTCAGCAAAGCCAAGTGTCGGCTTGTGCATGAAGTTGAGGTTTCTACTGACTTAACTTCAGCGGCAGAACCTGGAAGGTGCCGGGCTGATGCACGCAGGTCCCAGCAGCCTCTCCCTCTGCCACGCCCCCAGCAGAGCTGACCCTGCCCCAGAGATAGTGCTCCAGGAGCGAGTGGACGCCCAGGAGCGCAGGCACTCTGACGCTTCCCGGCTAACCTTTGTGGGGGACTCACAGGCAGCTGTAAGGGAAACAGTCACGACAAGGAATCATGACAGTGTTCTCTTTAGTGCCTGGGCGTCCCTCTCCTCAGACTTCCACTCGGAGAGTAAACAGAAAGCTGTCTTACCAGGTATCTGGGTGGGCTCATGGCTTTTCATACCTGAAGGCAGAAATGAATATTGGTTAGTGTCAGGTATCTACATTGTGTCTATCTTCCCATCTCTACAAAACAAAACAAAACAAAACAGCAACAAAAACATCTTTTAATGACTCTTTGTTCTGCAACAGGACAGCATCTCAACTCCTTAGCCCAGACTTGACGTCCATGGTCTGGCTTCTATCTCTTCAATCTTATGTTCAGAATGAAGTCCTAGTACATAGATTTTTAGATGAAACAATATTCTGCTTGGTTTAACGCTAAGGTTCATTTAGTTATTAGCTCTATGACTCGGGGCAGATTGCTTAATCCCTCTGAACATCTAGTCCTCATTTATGCAAAAGAAATGACCTTGTAGGTTGGTAGTGAGTGATAAAGGCAATACTGCGTGCATGTCCTCGGTATACTGCATGGGACATAAAAAGCACTTGGTAAGTGAAGTCCCTCTGTTCTAGCTTACTCATTGTTTTAGAGAGAAAGGTTTTTGCTATAGAGCATGTGCACTCACTGGAGACAGACAGAAAGCAAGAAATCCCCCTCTCCTGGGGGTGGAGGAGGCCATATTAAATGTGAGGTGGGATTTTATCATTCGCTCCTCATCCAACACCTGAAATACTCCTATAAAGAGAAAAATTTCCTCATTAGCAATGTTATTATTCTGAGGTCCATTTTGTGTGGAAACAGCAGGATAAAGATGAACCTTTTCTATTTCCTTTTTAATCGACTTGTAAAATTATGATGGCCTTTGCTCTCTGAGAAGCTTACTCCATGATTGGCTTAATAAAATGCAGGGAATAGGGATATTTAACACTGAAGAACATGAGAACGTCAATAAGTTCATGGAAAATGGAATTAAAGTGTGAGTTTATTTTGGTACAGAAATTTTTAAAATACATACATAGTTGTTTCATAAAACACATTTCCATTAACTTTTTTTTTTTTTTGGAGAGGTTTTTGCTATAAGTTGAACTTTGGAACATATACATAAACAGTGAATAGCATCTTAGATTGCTAGATGCAGAAATACACAAAACATCATTTTGATTTAGAAAAAAAATGCTATTTGTTATGCACTGCCAACCATCCTAAGTCTTAAGAATTGGTAGAATAATTAAGGATACCGTTCTTCATTGGCTGGGATAATCTAAAGATGACTAGATGGGAGACGCAGAGCTGCTGCATCGTGTCTATAAGGAATTCTTTCTGACATCCAGGAGGGCCTCTGACATCCCACTTAGTAAGCTAAGGTGGGCTCTGCCCTCTGCCCACTTCTCTGTGCAATGCCATGCCTACCTGCTCTCATCCATAAAGTGAGCTGTCTTGAGAAATGAAGACCTTGGACCAGCAGATGGCATAGTGGTTATGAGGCTGGATTCCCACGTAATTGATCGCAGTTCAGTCCTGGCCCCAGGCTTAAAACTCATGCCAGGAACGTGTGCTCACAAACTCAAAATCCCAAAAGGAGAATGGAGAAGGGACTGTGGTGTGGTCATCCCCCTGGGAAGTGATTTCTCTATTTCTGTCTCTCGGGTGAGCACACGTGCTCTATAGTACCCCCGACCCCCAAAAAACAAAAAACAAACAAACAAAAAACAGAAAAACCCACAACTCTTAAAAAGGGGAGGAGGGCAGGTGGTGTGATGGTTAAGGGCACTGGACTCCCACATGGCCAACTGCCGTTGAGTGTCGGACCTGGCAGCTTGCTTCCTCACTTTCCCTCGCTCTTTCACTTGCTCACTCTGTCCTTCTCTGATAAAATTAAAATAAATAAATAAATACAGCTAAATAAAATAACTCTTTTTGTAAAAAAAAAATAAGAAGGTCCAGAAGATGGTATAATGGTTATGTCATTGGACTCCCACATGGTTGACCATGCTTTGAGTTCTGGACCTGGCAGCTTAAAACTCACACCAGGTGCATGTGCATGTGCGTCCAAAATCCTGAGAAGAGAATGGAGGAGAAGGGACTGCCATAGGGTCATCCCCCCAGGGGATGATTTCTCTCTTTCTGTATCTCCGACAAATGCATGAGCCCTATAGCAAAAATCTCTCTAAAGAAAGAAAAGGAAAAATGTAAACCCCAGAATTTATGAAATTTCTTACCAGGGTCTTCAAGCTTCTGGTTTTTCTCACCTAAAAGAAACTTTGTTTTAATGATGGAAAAAAGAATTGAGAGTTACTGTAGCTATTACAAAACTGTTTTCAGATAATATGGCCATAAAGAACTTCTTGGTATGTCCAGGAAACTACTGCTACTGAATTTAAAAGTCAGCCAGAGTCTAAAACTACCTTGGCTAGTGGGCCGGAATCTTTCACTAACTCCCTTTATTAAGAAAAACCACCATATGTAGTCAGATTTCTGGGCATCTCAAGGAGCCAGAAGCATGTCTGCTGTGAAACTGAGGTCCCTGCGGAATGAAAAGTAGACTGTGGCTACAGGGGGCCGGTGAGAAGGAGGACTGGGGCCGGAAACCCCTTCTATTAGGACAGGAAATGGCTTTTCAAACAGGAAGTAAATTACTTATGTAAGGAAAGATTGGATACTTTCCTCTCTTCAACAAAGTAATACAGCCACATGGGTCAAACGTGATAAGGAACACATATATAAAGAAGCAATTTGGGCTATACCTCCATAAGTGGAAGCTTTGCGGGGGGGTCAGGGCGGTACCTAATTATCCTGACATTTTGGTCAAATAATTCCAAACATTAGCATATTTCACAGATGCAAAGATGCTGATCTTCCTATTTTTATCTGAATATTCGGTGTCGCACAGGCTAATCTCAGAGACTGAGTGAATACACATTTGTATCTAAGGGGCCCCCAAATCTCTGCAACAGTCGACTAGGGCTTTGGGTTCTACCAACATTACTCCCCAGAAAGTTTCCCTATTGTTCAGATCTCCACAAAGCCAACTCTGATCTAAGGGAGGTAAATTTCCCAAAATAGGGTTTTCCCCCCTCCTCCTATCCACCAAGTCACTGTTTTGTATTTGAGAAGTACTCCTTTTCTTCAGCTAAGAACTGCCAATTACAAAACAGGAGAGAAACCATTAAACATCCAGGTAAGAATTACTTTTAAAAATTTGGCCCAGCTGTGGTACAAGCAGAGAGTACTGTACCACGTGGGGTTCGGTACCATGTGACCCGCGATCTCGGGTTGACCTGAACCTGCCAGGTATACCCATGCACACACCTTGGCTCCCCACTGGCTGAGAGGCTGGAGGGATGATTGTGGTGGGACAAAACCCTGTCAAGAGTACCTATACATGATGCATGCAGGCACTTTCTTCTCTAATAAAATATACTTAAAAAAAAAAAAAAGCACGTACTCACCAGGGTTGTAGACATAGACAGGTTGAAAATTTTCTGAAATATAAACATGTTTTCATACACATGAGACTATGCTCAGATGTGAATGTCGGGTTCAGTCTACTTTAAAATACAGTAAAGATTTGAGTTGGCTTATATTTAGATACAAACAAAATGTGGTTATTATAAGGAACACAAAATTTCAATTCAAAGGCAAATGAGAGAGGCCAGCTGGTGGTGGCAGTTGTGACGAGCCCACGTGGCTCAAGTTCTGGACCTGGCGGCTTGAAAATACATCAGGCGCTTCTGTATGTGTGGCCAACATCCCAAAAGGAGACATGGAGGAGGGACTGTGGCCGGACCATCTCCCAGGGGGGAGCTTTCGCACTTTCCCTCTCTCTCTTTCTGTCTTGTCCAGCAAGCACATGTGCTGTCTAGCAAATTAAAAACAAAAACAACACAAATGAGTGTGAATTCACTTTAATTACATGAAGAAGAATGAACAGAAAAGCAAGAAAGACAATTAGAAAGAGGCCCTTGTTTTTAAAAAGGAAATACTAAAAAAGGATCTACCCAGAGTATACATCAGTCCAGTGCATTTGGTTCAAATCTATTAGGCCTATTTGATAATACTTTTTCTGAAGACCTTTTTTTTTTTTTTTTTTTTATGAGAGAGAGAGAGATTTGCTATAGAGTGTCTCAGAGAGAGACAGAAAGTGAGAAATGCCCCCCCCTGGGGGGGGGGATGGCCATGCCGCAATCCCTTCTCCTCTAGGGTCTTGGGCACGCATGCACCCACATCCGCCATGACTTTTAAGCCATCAGATCCGGAACTCAAACCACGGTCAACTATGTGGGAGTCCAACAACATAACCATTATGCCATCTGCTGGTCCCTATTTCTGAATACCCTTAAGAATTTCCTGCCCACCTTCCCAAATCTTCCCCACAGTCCTCTAAGATAGATTATTATATACTCCTATTTTTTTCTGAAGAAGCTAAAACAGACTATTACTCATCCTCCCACCTTAAGCTATATTCACGCTATTCCTTCATTAGACGCCCAAATATTATTTCCTGAGATATCAAACACAGGAACCAGGAGTCTAGCTCTTTGCATAGGAGCCCTGCAGGAAACCGTAGACGATGCAGGGGCATGCCAGAGTCCTGAAGCTCCTGTACGGACAGGTGGGCAGCAAGCGTGGGGAGCAGTTGCCTGTAAGCCCAGGACAATTCAACATTTGAAGAATAGCCAGGGTAAGGCTGGGGTGGAAGGCTCCTGGGCTGTCCACCTGAAAACTCAGGAACAGTATCCCAGTTTAGCTTTGAAAAATGATGGCTAACACTGACATTACATTGGCAGAATGACTTTGACCTACATGTGTGAGAAATAGCACTGATAAAATTCCCATCACAGAGACAATGCTTTAAAGCATATCTTACCTAGGTTCTCAACGCAGCGTTCAGTTTTCAGTCCTGGAACACAAAAATAAAGCTTTATTAGTTAGATGTAACCTCCCCTAGTAAAGAGTCTGACTGGTCTGTGGCTATTGATAATCCAATCTGTTAGCTTCTAGTTTATCAGACCCATAATCTAATAGGATGCAAACTGCAGAAAATTGTATTTTTGTATTCATAGTACAGTCACCAAACAGGTGTATGACCTTTGATAAACACCTATCCTCTCTGAAGTGTAGCTTCCTTATCTGTATCTTCTACTAAAAGGCCACTTCAGGCCCAGCAGCGGTGGGCTTCAAACAACCTTCAAGGGCTTATCTAGAAGTTAACACTTTATCATTCTATTCTGTGATTAGTAGACAAACTAGGGGAAATTCACCCATCCAATGAATCCTCTCTTCAGACCCTAAAGGTTCTCTATATCAAACCTATCCCTTGACTATGACAATTCCTATTCCACAGGGAAATACAGAGTGGAATATCTTATAACGTATAGACATTAGGTAGAGTATTCAGAAGGGTATGGCCTTGACATTGAAGAATAGTTCTTTATTATATTGGCTCAGGTTTTGCCAAAAAAAAAAAAAATCTAAAATGCAAGTCCTAAAAGGATGAAACTGTTTTTAAATAACTATGTTCCAGAACAAAGTTCAAGACTATTTTTAGAAATACAAAATTATCTAGCAAACTAAAAAGATTTGCAATGCTTGACACTCAATCAAAAGTCACTGGACATGCAAATAGCCAATAAAATACAATCCATAATGACAAGAGAACTCCATCTATTGATACTAACCCCAAACTGACAAATGTTAGAATGATCAGAAAAGTACATTAAAACACTCATCACAATCGTATTCCATGTGTTCAAAGGCTAAAGAAAAGATTAAACATATTGTCTTAGTTGAGGCTGCCATACAAAGTTACCATAGGTGGCTTAAACAATAGACATTTCTTTCTCACAGTTCTGTAGTTGGAAAGCCCAAGACCAAGGTGCCAGCAGATTCAGTCACTGGTGAAGGCTCTCTTCTGGACTGTAGATGCCACCTTCTCACTATGTCCTTACATGGTGGGGGAGAGAGAACTCAACTTATGAGAACACTACTCCCATCATGGTGGGGTCAACCCTCACGACCTCATCTCAACCTAAATTACTTCCCCAAGATCCCACCTCCAAATACCATTGCAGTGAAGATTAGGGTTTCAACATATGAATTTGGCAGGGGTTGGGAAAGAGGATACGATATTCAAATATTACTACTCCTAACAGGTGATAAGTAGCAACACAGAAGCTATAAAAAGACCCAAACTGAACTTCTAGAGATGAAAATCCTGAGGTAAAAAATACACCAAATGGAATTACTGACAAACTAGACATTACAGAAAAAAAATATTGAAGACATTCTAGTATGCAGAATAATACCTGATTTCAAGTTGTTTTAATAAAGCTACAGTTCAATCAATATATATGGTGCCGGCATAAAAACAAATAAATCAATGCAACAGACTAGAGAGTTCAGGAATAGACTTGCCATATACAGACAACTGTTTGTTTCTGTTTTTGCTAAAGGAACTCATTATGGAAAAAAGCCATCTGAATCATCCTCCAAAGGAGATGACACACTAATGGGTTAGCTTGGAATTATGGTAGGCAGCTTCTGACATGGTTCCCAATGATTGTTTCATACCTTGTGGAATAACTCTCCCCTTGAGTGTGAGCTGAACCCAGTGACTCGCTTCCAGCAAGCACAATGCAATCAATGTTATGATCTATCACTTCTGCAATTAGGCTGAAAAAGACCGTGACTCTCTGTGCTCTCTCCTGCTCTCTCGCTTGCTAGGATGAAACAAGCTGCCATGTTGCTGAATGCTCTCTGGAGAGGCCTATCTAACTGAAAACCAAGAGAAGTCTCCACACTCTGATCCTTTCTCCTCCATTCTCCACCTAGGATCTTGGGCACTCACACAGACTCACCTGACATGAGTTTCAAGCCACTGGGTCCAGGACTTGAACCACAGTCAACCATGTGGGAGTTCAGCGAGGTAACTGCTACTCCATCTGCTGACCTGGTGGCTTAAGACTCACACCAGGTGAATGTGTATATGCCCAAAATCCCAACAGGTGACTAGATGAGAAGGTGGCCATCCCCCCTGGGATTTCTCGCTTTCTATCTATCTCTGTCTCTCTGGTGAGCACATGCACCCTATAGCAAAAATCTCTAAAAAAAAAATTAAATTAAATTTTAAAAAAAGATGGTTAACCTGTGGTCATTTTCTCTTGAGGAAGAAGGCGTTTGCCATTCTTTACTCAGAGTTCATTCCCATTATCTTGGATTACTACAAGATTAGTATCTCCAGTCACCAGGAACTGTATTATTTAATGAGACACTGATATTTTATTCACTTTGTAATAAACTTTTTGAAACAGTGTTTAGGTAACTGGTTTTTGTAAGACCTACAACACATATTTATCTTGATAATCATTAGGCAAGTTTACAACCCAAGATAGGACTGTTTAACATACTACATTTAGCACAGTAAACATTTAAAAATCTTTTAGAAATGTTGCCCTTTTTCATCCTGAGTCACAGTTATTCACAATTACAACAGGATAAGGTTGTCATACTATCCTCCTGGGTAGGGCTTTTAACAGCCCCTGGCCATTTTGTTCTTCACAGTGTTTCTAAGAGCTTGTCTTTAAGGATTCCTTCAGGGAATTTTTGACCCTGCAACCCCATTAGTCATCTCTAGATGGTAGCAGAGGACTCTAGTCTAGGATTAAACCAACACACTCCCGTGCAGCGGCTGACAGTTCTCCAAACACAGATGCAGGTGAGCCTCCACAGAGACCTCCCTTGTGGCAGGTTTGGACATGAAGCTACTGAACAGCTTCTGCCTAACTCCATTCTTCTCCCTGACTCTTCACGTGGGCATCTGAGCCCGGGCTCATTCAGAATCAATCCAAAGGCTCCACACCCTTTGTTTTGTCACCAACCATCCATGAACACAGAGAGTCTGGACTCCACTGCTCAGCTCTGCCCATCAACCAAACACTAGTGCTAAATTTGGCTTGTAGGTGCTGCAACAGAGCTGTTGAGATAACTGATGACTCGGCAAATAGCTACTGGAGCACCCAAAGAGGTATTTCTGTCAGTCCAGCTGCAATGGAATTTCTGGCTGTGATGGGCTTGTAAAGTTTAACAGACTCTGACTGAAAAGTATGTGCAAAGAGGGACCTGCAGATAGTGTAGCGGTTATGTCACTGGACTCCCAGGTGGCTGACTGTGGTTCAAGTCCCGGACCCCGTGGCTTGAAAATCACACCAGGCACATGTGCATGCATAACAGGGGAGGGGAGGGGAGGAGAGGGGAAGAGAGGAGAGGAGAGGAGAGGAGAGGAGAGGAGAAGAAGGGATTGTGGTGTGGCCATCCCTCTGGGGGAGGTAATTTCTCACTTTGCCTCTAACTATGTCTGTCTGTCCCTCTCTCTCTCTCTCTGCTGAGCACATGTGCCCTAAGGCAAAAACCTCAAAAAAAAAAAAAGTATGTGGAAAAATATTCAGCCTCACTGATCACCAGAAAAATGCAAATCAAAATGAGAATAAGTTATCATTTCACCCCAATTAGAATAATCATTATTAAAAAGGCAAAAACTAACATATAATGGCGAGGATGTTGAGAAAGGGAATTCCTACCTATTGATGGGGAATGTAAACTAGTATAACCATTATAGAAAATAATATGGAGGTTCCTCAAAGAGCCAAAAATAGAACTACCTGGGGTCAGCAGGTGGCACAGTGGTGAAGGTGCTGGACTCCCACATGGCCGACCACAGTTTGAGTTACAGACCTGGAAGCTTGAAAATCATGCCAGGTGTGTGTGCGTGCCCAAAATCCCAAGAGGAAAATGGAGGAGATGGGATTGTAGCATGCCAAACCACTGGGTGGTGACTTCTCACTTTCCCTCTCACTGTCTCTATCCTGGTGAGTGCCATGTACCCTACTGCAAAAAACCTAAAACACAAACAACAAACACAAAACATAGAACTACCTTAGGATCAAGTGATCCCACAACTGGGCACACCCAAAGGGAAGGAAATCAGCATGCCCTGAAGATACCTGTGCCCAGTGTTTACTGCAGCACTAGTCACAGCAGCCAAGATACGGAATCAACCTGTGTCCATCAGCAGAAACGGGTAAAAAAATGTCATATGAGGGCCAGCAGGTGGTGTGGTGGGTAAAGTGCTGGATCCATATGGCCAACTAACTTGGTTCAATTCCTGGACCAGTGGCTGGAAAAACAAGCTAAATATGTGCATGTGTGCCCCAAAATCCCGAGAGGAGAAAAGAAAAGGGATTGTGGTGTGGCCATCCTTCCTGGGGAGTGATTTATCCCTTTCTCTCTCTCTCTCTCTCTCTCTCTCTCTCTCTCTCTGTTGAGCACACCTGCCCTACAGGGAAAAAATAAGTACATATGTATACACACACACACACGCACACACACACACACATACATACATACAACAGAATGCTATTTAATCATTAGAAACAGAATTTTGCCGCATTGTGTTGAGTAAAATAAGTCAGACACAGAGAGAAATACCACATGGTCTTATATGGAGAAGTTAAAAAATTTAACCTCATAGAAGGAGAGAGTAGAACAGTGGTTTCTAGAGGCAGGGATGCTGGAGGACAGGGGGGGGGGGGGGTGTGGGGTGACGTAGGACCGGCATTTTTTTAGATGTGGGTTAAGAGAGTACTGGATTTCTTTTTGGAGTGATGAAAATTTTCTGGAATGACACAGTGATGGTTGCACAACATATTAAATGTATAAAAACCACATTTACAATGGTCAAATTATAAATTTAATGTAATGTACACTCTTATCTTGAGGAAGGGAAGGGAAAGAAAGGAAAAAAAAAACTTCACAGGCATAGTGTGTGTGTTGGGGGAGATACCCTTGTTTGCAGGGTTTGTTGATTCCCGTGGTGTAAGTGAACCATGGCCAATTTCAGTGATGTAGAAGCAACTGGGAAGAAGACACGCATGCCCACAATCAGCTCCTATGAGCTCATGTAAGATGGTTCCAACTGGCTTGGTTTTTGGTTGTGTCTAATGTATATTTGGAAGGGGAATGAATACTTTCTCTTTCAGCACAAATTTATTCACTCCAGCCCTTCATCTGCCCCCTCAAGAAGAAATAGTAATTAGTCTCATTCACTTGCAACTCAGATACAGGACTATGGTGAGATAACCAAGGTGGCCAAAGATCAAAATTTAAGGAGGCGCTCTCCCACTCAGGCTCATGTAAGTGCAGGTGCTAAAGCATACAGCCCTGAGAGTGAAGACTTCCTTAAATTTTGCCCCCTAGGCACCTCAATGGCCACATAACTTGTCACCCAGTTATAAAGGAGTCAGTCCCTACTGCCCCCAACCAGGAATGGATGTCTTATCAGCATTTCCCTTCTCAGCCTTTTCGACTCACAGTACCTTGGCCACACTGAGTCAAGGTCTAAAAGTCTATCCCCTACTTCTGAAACCTACTTCAGTTCTTCCTTGGCTTGACTCAGCAACAATGGTTTCTGGCCCAGCTAGACAATCTCAAGACCTAAAAGAGTCCAACTCCTCACCAATGTACTCAGTTTTACAGAAAAATGCAAGGTAGGTAACAAGAAATACTGTTTGGTAGGAAGCTAACCTCACGAGGTTCCTTCCATGCAGATCCTCACAGCAGCCTAGAGCTATTCTTTAGCTTCCCAAACAGCTCAAGTACAGGGACACAAGAGTGAGCGAGTGGGTGCAGAGGTCTCCCTACTTAGTAGCCTCATGCCACATCTCGGCGAGGACATCTCGGTGAGGACATCACGAGAACCTCTATGAGACTGGTACAAGGGCTCTGTGGTCCTTCCAGGGCTCTACAGGAAAACACCCGGGTACGTCACACCATGTTTAGGAATGCCCACCAATGTACTCAGTTTTACAGAAAAATGCAAGGTAGGTAACAAGAAATACTGTTTGGTAGGAAGCTAACCTCACGAGGTTCCTTCCATGCAGATCCTCACAGCAGCCTAGAGCTATTCTTTAGCTTCCCAAACAGCTCAAGTACAGGGACACAAGAGTGAGCGAGTGGGTGCAGAGGTCTCCCTACTTAGTAGCCTCATGCCACATCTCGGCGAGGACATCTCGGTGAGGACATCACGAGAACCTCTATGAGACTGGTACAAGGGCTCTGTGGTCCTTCCAGGGCTCTACAGGAAAACACCCGGGTACGTCACAGCATGTTTAGAAATGCCGAGCCATGGCCTCTCTACAAATATTTACAGTTCTTTCACAATCCTCCCAGCTCAGGCTCACTTTACCAATCAAGGACCGTATTTACCAAAGGCAGTGTTGCGTGGTTAAACACCCGTCGCTCCTCCTTTAGGAGATTACAGAAAAACAATGCTAGAAGATCAGTAGGAGTCCATTCTTACAGGACAAAGGAAAAAAGGCTTTCTGATCCCACTACTCATATACAACAAGCCACAGCACCATAAAACTTCAGGATGCTGGAGGTTAAAAAAACACCCTACACTTTCCAGATTTAAGAAAGAGAGAAAGCGTGCGGCCTCATTTGAAGTTATAATAATTAGAATGGCTTCACACTTTTCAATAGCAGCTCCAGAAACTAGAGGTCATTGGGGGAACGTCTTCAAAATTCTGAAGAAAAGTACATTTTAAAAACAGAAATGCAAATATGCATAAATTATTATTCTATAGCTTAAAGGTATAGATTTCAGATACGCAAAGTCTTGGAAAATGTGCCTCACTGTACCTTTTCTCAGAAAACTTATAGAACCCCCACCCCCATTCCCCCAAACAAAGGAGTAATTCAGGAAAGAGTTGCAAATCTCAGAAATAGAGGCTCATTCATCGGGAAGAAGCGAAGCCGCAGAATGGTAGTGAGGAGAGATTGTGGACATTCGGCAGGCCCAAGGCATAGCACAGAGTAGGATGATGGCGGAACCCCAGAAGACAAAACGGGAGTGAGAGAGTAGCCAACGTGTCTGAATGTACTGAGACGAGGTTTATATTTCTGTCCAAGGATATGGAGGGGAATTACTGATGGGATATAAAAGACCAAGGAAGGAAAAATAAATCACACAGTAGCCGTGGGGTAAAAGAGGTCCTTTGGCATAGAAAAACACTCTTTGTCTCAGTCCTGACCAGTCTTTGCTACACAGGGAGAACAGGCAGGGGGGAAAGCATGTGTTGGGGAAGATGGTGGCAGTGATCAAACAGTTTGGGTTTAAATCATTTCTTTCTTATTTATGTTTGTTTTTTTTTTCCCGTGAGAGTGAGATACAGTGAAAGAGAAAAAGAGAAAGTGCAGGAAAGAGATATGAACCCTCAACAAACTCTCATTGCCGTGATCACCCCAGCCTTCCCAGCCAGCTGGGACTGTGGGCACACATGCCGGGCATGCACAGGTCAACAAGGAAACTGAATTCCCTGTCACCCTCGTGGATCCAGTTTCACTTGAGCAGGAGGCTCCTCTGCACCACAGAGCTGTCCCTACTGTCATTTCTAACGTCCTCTCCCTGGTCTCCCTACACAACTGGGCTGGAGAAGCTAATTACCCCCTTCCCCCGTTTCTCTTGTCGCTATGGGTGACCAAGAAACTGTTCTCATCGATGACCTCTAAGGAGAAGTCTCCTAAGTGCTTCTGGGAAAGCGTTTACTTTCCTTATTAAACAGGTAGACTTGCCTGACATCCTCCTTCCTTTCTTGCTGTCTCAGACATGGGCTGATGCCTAGAGCTCTAACGGCCGCAGACATGAATCAACACGCCAACATGCTATGTGAGCGATGGGACAGAGAGCCACCAAGAGCCTGAGCTACTGACGATACAGACAAGCGCTGCACGAACCATGGACGGCCTACCTCTAGACTTCCTCAATGAAGACCGTCAGTCAGCCTTTCCGTTACTTACTCCTGAAAGTAATTAAGAACCTCATTCTCTACAGTGGGAAGGCAATCGATTGTGTCCAAAAATTTAAAGAATCAAGAAGAACCCCACTGAAGCACATTATTTACCTAGAAACATGATGGTACGCACCAGAAAAGAGCTAAAAGAATTAACAGCAGCACTACTGACATTCTTGACCAGAACTTTCTTGTGGGGGACTGTCCTGTACTATTTAAGCGATGTCCCTGGACTCCATCCATTATGCCAGCAGTAACCCCCCCCTTTCCCAGTTGTGATGGCCAAAAACATTTCTGACTGTTGCCAAATAACTCTGCAGGGAAAAAATGGCTGAGAACCACTGTCTTATAGAATTATTTCCTTGTTTAAGCTTGTAATGTAATCGTAAATGTATTATTTTGAAAAAAATTAAATTACATGAAAGGAGATAGACCGGAAACTGCCGACAACATTTCTCCTTTTAAATCTCTTTTCCTCTCCTTGCCTGGATTCTCCCTGTGCCTAAGAAGCCCACTCCCTCGCTCGCAGACAAGCAGAGACAGAACAGAGACACTTACCGCCTAAAAATGCACACTCGAAATGGCTGCAGGTCTTGTTTGTGCTTTGAAGCATAAGGTTACTGCCAGAACCGTCCCATGACACCTGAAAAATCTCACTCAGGGGTATTAAAATACTTCTTTCACTTTCTTTATCAGAAAAGTTTTCAGTGGAAACGCCATAGCACGTATGGATGGCTAACACGGTGTCCTGGTCAGTAACGGCCTGAGGTCTGGCCGAATACGCCAAGGTAAAATGGCCAAGCCTGGCTTGGCTTAGCCCTCCGAACGTAAACGAGGTGTCCTGGCTTGTTCCGTACACCACGTTTTTGTAACTGTCCTCACAGGGTCTTCTCAGCAACTGCAGGGCTCTGGTCAGGTAAAAATGAAAAGCTTTAAACTGGAAGCCGTAGATATAATCTTTCCGGGATTGGCCAGCCGTTTTCACAGCTTCGTTGAACAGATGGTAAAATGGAGTTTGCTCCTGAGCTTCAGAAACGTACGCTATCAGGGCAATCCCGTGGTTATCCTTGAAATTCACCGGGAGAAAGAGCTGAGTCTTCCGAGCTTCCCATTTGGCTCTTGCATTTTCCCACACGGTCTCTAAGAGCTGAAGGCCTGCTTTCTCATCCTTGAGCAGTTGGGGAACGTATTTGCTTTCCATCCTGTCAGTGCATTTCAGGTATTCATCATCAAATACATTATCTGCCATGTCTAACATATCAGCCTTCACCTTCAAAGAAAAAGGAGAGTGAGACTCTTCAAGTAAGATACTGTAACATTTTCTGTCACTTCACTATTCCCACCCTCTCGTACTCCGTCAATCTCTCCTAACCAACTTAGGACATGTTTTCCATGCAGGAAGTGTATGGCATTCCTATTGCTAACACGTCTCAGCTGTGACATATTTACGAGAGGGTAGTGTGGGGAAGATCGTGCCTGTAACACATTTATCTGAACATGGGGCAGAGGAAAGAAAAACGAATGTGACGTTGAAGGACTAGACGGAACTTCAGGCTTTAAACAATATTCTTCGCTAGATTTCCTCTAACCCTCAAGACTGTTGGCCGAATTTGAAATATCATGAGCAAAATACTTGTATACGATAAATACATAATGGCAAATATCACTTCTTTTCCTCTGGGGACACCCTCTCCCTTTTCCAAAGGGCTTGAGTAGAACTAATTTTCTATTTTCAGCCCAAAGGGTAAACAGGTGATCTAAACCTAGCACTCGGTGTACTCAAGAAAAGAAGAAGAAAAAAAAGAATCTTTCTTTCTCTAAAACCATAAGCTCTAAGGATAGTACTGGCTTGGACTTGCTACAATTACCCTTTTAGTCCTATGGAGAATCCTATCTGAAAATAAAGCAACCGAAAAAGGTTTGCAGAGCTAAGAGACAGAGACAGGCAGACACACACACGAGGGCCTTAAAACATTCTTGAGTCTCTGGGTCCAGACATCCTGCTCCAATCCTAAGAATCAATCAATTCCTTATTTGCTTGGGCTCCTCTAAATTACGTTACAGTCATATACACCTGAAAAGGCCGACCACATCTCTAAAAGGTGCATAGCTCCCAGACCACAAGCAGCAAAGTGCTGAAGGTAATTAACCCTGATTCGAAGCCGGAAATCCTATTTCCACTACTAGGCATGGACGCCTTACTTGCCATTTCTCAGCCTCGATTTTTTTTTTTTTTTTTCATTTAAAATCTGAGGTCAGAGTAGAAGAAATAATATATTAATTGCAGGATTGCTGTGAGGGTAAGTCACATAATGAGTATGGGGAAAGCCCTCATTAGCCTGCGTCCATCAGCTATCAGGCCTTCAACAAACAGTGGTCACTGTTATCTCGTGCACTGCAAGATAGATTTCTCAGTGGTCACTGATACTATCTCGTGCACTGCACGATAGATTTCTCAGTGGTCACTGTTATCTCGTGCACTGCACGATAGATTCCTCAGTGGTCACTGTTACTATCTCGTGCACTGCACGATAGATTTCTCAGTGGTCACTGTTATCTCGTGCACTGCACGATAGATTTCTCAGTGGTCACTGTTATCATCTCGTGCACTGTACGATAGATTTCTCAAGGACAGTATGTATATCTTATTTATCTTTGAATCCCAATCACCTCGCACAGAATCTGGCAAAATATTTGAGTGAACTAAATACAAACCTGTACTCTGTTCATGAATTAAAAACTAGGGTTTTTATTTGGGTTGCCACAAATAAAATAATAATTCCTCTTTTTCCCACTATTTTCTATTTGTATGGTGCACAGCTACATACGTCTGCTTGGCAACCTCAGTTGAAGAGGTCAGTTTATAGACACATAACCAGAAGCCGTTAGAGCTACACATTCAGGGACCAGTGGATGGCATAATGGTTACATTGCTGGACTCCCACATAGTCGACTACGATTCGAGTCCCAGATCCAGAAGCTTAAACACACCAGGCGTGGGGGGGGGGGCGCGGAGGGGGTGCATAACCAAAATTCTGAGAGGAGAATGG